GAGAGAGAGAAAGAGAGAGAGAGAGAGAGAGACAGAGAGAGAGATCCGTCCCAACGGATATTGGCGAAATGTGATTTCTGCCCGGTGCTCAGAATGCCAAAGTGAAGAAATACAACCAAGCACGGGTAAACGGTAGGAGTATCCATGACTCTCATCTAGCTAGTGGCGCACACGAGCAGACTAACGAGACTCCTACTGTCCCTATCTACCATCCTGCGAAACCACAACCAAGGTAACGGGCTTGGAAGAATCGGCGGGAGTAGCGGCTCGTCATCTAATAAGTGACGCGCATGAGTGGACTGACGAGATTCCCACAGCCCCTACCTACCGTCCCGTGAAATCACAGTCATGGGAATGGGGTTGGAAGGAACGGTAGGGAGAGTAGCCACGTCATCTAATTGGTGACGCGCATGGATGGATTAACGAGATTCGCACTGTCCCTATCTACTATCCTGTGAAGCCTCGGCCAAGGCAACGGACTTGGAAGAATCGGCAGGAAACAAAGCCAGTGCCACGTCACCTAATTAGTGACGCGCTTAAATGGATTAACGAGATTTCCACTGTCCCTATCTACCATCCTGTGAAACCACAGTCAACGGAAACGAGCTTGGAAGAAACTGAACCGCACGCACCAGCGGGAAGCCGCGTGCTTGAATAGCTGAACCGGCCAACCGGGCTCGCTGGTGGGGAAAAGACGGACCTGGCTGCGCGCACTCATTGCAGTCCCAGACCAGACCGGAGGAGACCAAACTCAGACAAGGCAGGACCGGACTCAGACAAAGCCCAGACTTGACTAAGACAAAGGCAGTTCAGGACAGATCAAACATCAACACAGACCAGACCGGGTGAGACAGGACTCACACCAGCCCGGTTCAGACGCAGACGAGACCAGATCAACCCGGACCAGACCAGAATCAGATCGGACCAGAGAGAACGGACCCAGTCCAGACCGGACCAGACCCAGACCAGTCCGGATCAGACACAGACAAGACCAGACCAATTCTGACCAGATCAGAACCAGACCAAATCTGAACCAGCCCTGACCAGATCAGCACCAGCCCTGACCAGATTCGGACCAGTCCGGATCAGACACAGACAAGACTAGACCAGTACTGACCAGATCAGAACCAGACCAGATCAGAACAAGTCCAGGCCAGATCCGATCTGGCCAGACCACAACAGGACCAGACAAGACCCGGGCCAGACCTGTCCGGGGCCCAAACCAAACCAGCCCAGGATAGACCGGGTTAGACCAGATCAGAGATGATTAGAACAGAGTATGCTGGACCAGAACAGACGAGGCTGCATTAGATCAGACCGGGCCAGACCACATCAGAGAAGATCAGAACAGGGCATACAGACCAGATCAGACGTGAGCAGTTCAGACTACAACCGGACAGGGTCAGACCATATCCAGACCAAATCAGACTAGACTAGGCAGAACCAGAACTGGACTCTTGGCAAACGATTGAATGGGAAGAGATCTCCACCAGAGAACAATTGCTGGCCGCAAGAATCAAACAAATAGCCGAAACTCTTCAGGATAACATCCTAGACACCATAGACAAGTTAAAGATCCAGAGAGGAAAAGAGAAAGAAAGATGGGATAGGAACCTTCACGTTAGGCAAGAAGGGATACCTACAGGGAGCCTCGTCCTGCTCTATAACTCCTCATTAGAGAGAACATGGACAGGGAAGCTAGCAAATAGATGGATGGGGCCCTATAGAGTGGTCAAAAAACTAGAAGGCGGAGCCTACTTAATAGAGGAATTAGACGGCACAAGATGGAAGGAACCGGTGTCTCGCGCCCGTCTTAAAGTATTTAAAGACCGAACAAAAAATATTACACGTACGGTAAAAATCAGGCAGACAAATGACGCCCATACGCACCCAAAAAAAGGTAAAAAGAAGGATGAGTCCTTAGAACAACCCACAGCGTCAACCACCTCCGAAGTAGGAGAATCCTCCAATCGACATGCACTAAAGCCTGCCACACAAATCACTCCTCAAGTACCAGAATCCTCCAAACAATCTTCAAAAAAGACACAACACAAACTTCTAGGGGTCCGACATATCCAACGCAAACACACCAAGATCACCAAATCCGACATCAAAAACTTGACGGCGACTAAAAGGGAGAAAAAGAAAAAGGCTAAACAAGTCATCAGGAATGCCCTAACAGTAGAAAAAACAACAAACCACCGCCGACATGCTAGATGTACTCCACCAAACAAACGCTTAGGCGTCAAAACAAAGCTCACTAAGAGAAAGTCAAACAGGAAGGAAAAACAAAAGAAAGGCATCCGAGCACGACAGAGAGGATGATCTTGGGTTGATGGGTAGAGATTATGAGTCATCCATCTTTTGCAAATTTTTCTCCCTTCAAATCCCAATACTCGCTCGCCGAGGACGTCGAGAATGGGGGGGGGGGGGCTGTTGTCGACGGCTCCGATACTACGCCACCCCTTACTTCCTTTCCGAGGGCACGCAACGAGACCCTCACTCGACGGTATTCTACCTGGCCGGGCTTCATCGACCATGAGGCGGGCCAACACTGGGACCGACAGGGTTGCCAACATTTACCGACTATGCGGTGGGACGACACGCCGAAGAACGGGGCGGCAACATCCTTGCTCGACGTTATTTTGCGTGACCGGGGCACACCGACCATGAGGCGGGCCAACGCTACGATCAAGGAGCTTACTTTTTCCGGCCGCGACTCACCAACCGTGATACGGGCCGGCACTACGGGCAAGGGGCACATTGAACCAGTTGGGTTTTCCTCCGAAAGGGCGGTCCCGCTAGGACGCGGGGCCCACCTAGGCTTGATTGAGTGATGGGTCCAATTTTCACTTATGAGGGCCGCCTGGATTTTCCCCTAAGAGCGGTACCACTGCTGCGTGGGGACCGCCTAGGCCAGGGCCGGCCTGGGGCAAACTCAGGACTGGTCGTGGTACCAGGACCCTGCTGAAGGCCCAGTTCCCTATGGG